CTTGTCTATTTTAATCTCTATCATCAGAGATTAATTGAACGAAAAATGAGTGAAAATGATTTGGCAGCAACAAGAAAAACATGTCGAAAACATTGTGGTGAAGGTGGATGTATACCACTCAATGTGAGTAAACTCTTTTGGAATGTTTATCATTCAACATAGTACGATCAGATTTCTTTTTTTCTTATTATTATTTCTACTCCAAAACATAGAATATTGCAAATTATTGTCTGAAAAATTCCTAGATCGACTTTGGAATTGCTGTGAAAGGTATTGTGGATGAAGATCATGTGACATTACCTGTACGTCTATCAGTTTCGGCTTGGGATGAACCAAATCCACATCCTGCTTACAATCAAAGTCCTACTGAGATGGATGGCATTGTGACCGTACGTGATTTAATTGTTGGCAAATCCTATGTTCTTCTCCGATACTCATCTTATGAATATGTACCAACGAAAGGCACCATCAGTGATTTTCTATTGTCAAATTTTGATGAGAAACATGCATTTGTAGCAAATGATACGATCTACATTTATGAAGATCCAAAGAAAATTCCATCAACAGGATCAGTGTATTATCGATGTGTTCTACAACCCGAAGAATGAGTCACCATTAAATTAGCTTCAATTTCATTCCTTGCTGGTGCTTTCTTTTATCGAAAAAATTCGATTGTAGTAAAACAGACATTACATGGGATAAACATAAGTTTCGTTTATATTGATTTGCATTTTTCAAGGCACATAAATAAATAATATTTTTTTAATCGTGAAATTATGTTTTATATAGTTTTGCTGTTTTAAGAAATGAAATTCATCAATTCTCATGGATCCATTTGACAATAAGTGCCATTATCATTTCATGGCAGCCAATACTCGCACTATAGTTATGGAGAAGTTGCATATGAATTCATGCTCGCCTTTCATCTACACTCGCAAACTAGATTGAGATTCAAAAAACTGTCTAGCAGTATACACAACTGTGTCATGGTTATTAGAAAAAAAAATACGAGCAGAAAAGATTTCTGTTCAATAGATTTCAAAATATAGTCAAACGAAACGACGACTACAGATTTTACTCGTAGATTAGATCTGTGCATAAATCGAGAATCGCATTCATATGATCATATTCACACAGATGCTCGCCTATCGTCAGTAATACTATGGTTTTTTCTTGTGAACTTTGTTGCGTAGTATTGTTTTTGTTACATGAGGTTTTAGATTTTGGATAGTTTTGAAATCGTAAACTCCGAACATGATAATTTTTCCCTTGCAATCGGGTCCTTTAATCTCCAAATACAGATCATGATGGACATCTTGATCTGACAAGAAGATAATATGGTTTCATACGTGTATCCTATGTGTAAATTGTGTGCAAAACTGAATCTGAGTTTCTCTCATTTTTTTATAAATTAGATTCGGTATCTGGTATTTTTGTCCTAGTACCTTATGTCTTCTCCACGAACTCCAACAGGAACAATTCGCGAGTAACGTTTCGTTCCAAACCAGCGAGAAAAATATGGTTGTGCATGTATTTTGAAATGAAAAAGAAGGACAACTACTTGGATAAATGTGAACAGGGTGCGAACAAGGGTCTGGTTCTTCATTTCAACCAAATCTACATCTGCTCACACTCTGATTTCAATCCTTATTTCATAGATGAAATAGTTCCAGTACATAAATTCTTTACAAAACAGAGAAAGAAATAATCCAATCTACACAAACCTTCACAATATGAAGAAAATAGAACTCCAATATTTTACTCAAAATGAGACAAGGTATAGTCAAGGTCTTTAGAAATCGAAAAATGATCATCAAAAAGTTTTAAAACCAGGAAAGTGAAGTCCTGCTTCTCTGCTGGTCGTGCCACTATTGTTTTTGGTAAATTCATACTATAAATCATATTAACTTCAGTCCATACTTTCGTTTTCATAATCATCGATAAAATATGAGGCATAGACTTCTAATATCAAAGGAACGACACTGTTTAAACACGATTAGAATTAGTAAAAATATGACTATTTTTAGTGATTCAATCGAAATACACATTTGATTTTCTCTATTCAATTGCACGATATTATCGTTGAATCTTCACATTATTTAAATGATATTCCATACAGATGAATTCATTTTGACAATAAATATGTTTGCTTATTTATTATGTGTCACTTAGAATCTTTGCAACATCGAGTTTTTGTAAAGTTCGAACAGAAAATAAAAATACTCGATATTTATATTTTTATACTTTGAATTTTCTTCATAACCAAACTATATTTGGTGATTTTCTCTAAATCAACTTTTGAAGAGAAGAATCGAAGTTTTCATCCTTTTTTCCATTTAAAAACACTGAAAATTCAAACACTATTTTTGAAAACTAAATAGTCTATTTTGCAGACTATTCAAACTGTAAAATCTTCCCAGAATTTATTTTTTCTGAAGATGTTTAAGTTTTCCAAGAAGTAGAGTTTGCTCATTGCTAGTTTTGGTAATTGCAACATGATGGAAAAGCAAAACTTTGTGTTTTGGAAATATGAGAATTAACTAATAAATAATTAATTTTAAAATATTTCAATTATTTAAAGATATGGATGAGGGTAGCGTGTCGTTCTTTATTTTTCTTATGATTCATTCAATGTGTTACTTTGTCATTCTGTGTTTTTTATATGATACGTGGCCTTCGGCGGTGATTCATTCTGTTTGTCAGCATTAAATCATACACCCCACGACAACAACAACTACGAACAGTTGAATAACTACCACATATTTAAGCGTGATCTCTATTCATGTTTTAAAGATAAATATTGAAGGAAAGAGCATAGAGAAATTTTATAAAAAGAATTTAATGACGGAAACAATATTGACGACGAATACACCACCATCTACTACAATTGTTCACATTAATGTCAAGCAAGAATGTCCAGTTCAGTATGTAACTGTTTACAATGATCGTGCAGAATTAACACGTCTTGTTCGACATCATTTCGATAATGAAGGCACTTATGATCTAGTTCTCCAAGGTTTATCACCTTGTGTCGATCTAACTTCATTTCATGTTAGCGGTGGAACAGGCAAATCATGTACTATTCTTGAAGTTTCTTATCAAACACGTTACGAAGATCCATCGACATCACAATCTGATACAACACTACTCGATCAATTGCAAGCACAATTAGATGTTGTTCAAGCAGATGTTGATGAACATGCTCAAGAACTAGATCGACTTAAAAAGCAACGAGTGTGGCTCGATGGAAGAGCATCAAAACTGATGAGTCAAGAAGCACCATTGAGTGCAAGTGACCTTGACATAATGGAACAGTTTCTTAACTTTTATCACAAAATGCTCAGCAAAATAGATAAAGAAACAACTCAGGAACAATGCCAATTGAAAGAATTGAACAGTCGCCGTGATACACTTACAGCCAAAATAAATGAACATGGTTCACAAGCAACGACTAATCGACGCATAGAACAGCGTGAAGTGTCTATTACTATTTATGTAGGTAGTAGTAAAACAGACATTGCCTTGGAAGTATCCTATTTAATCAGCAATTGTTCATGGAGTGCAAGCTATGATATACGGGTTGACAGTGAAGAAGGAAGGCAACCAAAAACTCAACTTACTTATTATGGTATTATTGTGAGTATTGTATTATTAAACAAGGATGTTTTCTAATGAACAATAGAAATTTTTTGCATAGAATTAATCGAATTTTAATAGTAAAAGTAGATGCTTCTTTCTTATTCTTCACTATTTTATATATTCTATAAATTTGATCATTTTCGAAGAACATAAAAACTTTCAAATATTTAGAGAAGTCTAATCCTATTTGAAGGAACAAAATATTTTATTTTCTGTTGTCATAATTATTCTATGGTTGATACATATATATAGAAGCATTTTTCCAGGAATCTTACATTCCCTGAATCTTTATAACTTCCTAGTGACTTCATATAATTTTGATCATTTTTAGCTCTGTCTATATATTTTTATTCATTGTTCGTTTTAGTTCTTTAGATAATAGTTCTAGTTCTCATCATAGGTATAGTGATAGCAAAGATGTTTTCCTATTCAGACGAATTCCACAAGAAAATAGATAATTTCAAGTGATCTATTCTTGTTTTCATATCAAATAATCTGATATTTTTATTTTCGTTGTAAAACTAAATTTATCATTCAAATGATTTGTATGAGTCTTTCGCATTTCATGACAATCAATTGTGCGTCAAGTGGAGTACAGTCCGAATATGATTTTTTTTATCCGTGGTTTTATATTAGGAACTCATAATGAGAAGGCTATCTCTGAAAAATCCATACCTATTATGAATAAATCTCATCATGTATTTTATATACTATATGTAGGTCAATAAAAGTCAAGAGAATTGGTCTGATACACAATTTTCATTATCTACAGCAACTCCATCTCTAGGTGGTGCTGCTCCCAAATTGGCCACACTCAAAGTCAACTGCCGTCAGTATCATGGTGTTCCACAACGCTTCATGAGTCAATCTGCACAAAGTACATTGTCGATGGGTGGATCATTTAGTAGAGCATCAAGAAAATTATCGGATGTACGTGAACAAACATCGCTAATCAGTTCTGCTTCTTCTTACAACGATGATGAAGATACGTCGCAAAGCATTGTCAATGTATTAGGATCAAAAGCTGAAATGAGTTTTTCGAGCACCAGTTTCACTATTCCTCGTCGATCGACCATCGATGCCGATGTAAGTTTCAATTTGATCTAATAAAGCTTTGATAATTTCAACATTTCTGTCTATAAAAGGGTAAACCACACAAGTTGACTATCGGTGTGCTCGATCTTGTTTCAACCTTCAGCTATACAGTTGTGCCTAAACTATCATTACATGCCTATTTGAAAGCATCAACTTTGAATATATCTGACAAGTATCTTTTAGCTGGGCCTGCATCTATTTTCATGAACAACAATTTTGTTGCACATAGTTCAATCGATAATGTGTGTATAGGTGATACGTTTGATCTGCCATTAGGTATTGATTCTAGTATCAAAATTGAATATAAACCAGTAAAGAAAACAAGCGATACTCAAGGAATTATTTCAAAAATTCATCTCAAAACGGTTCGTCACGAAACCCATATAACGAATACGAAGACCCATGAAGTTGTTGTTTTTGTTTATGATCAAGTTCCATTACCATCGGATGAAAAGATTAAAGTCAATGTGATTCATCCAGATTTACGACGAAAAGATAATAATTCACAAAATACTATAACATTAAAGGATACCAATAATTTAGAATGGAAATGTATACTACCACCAAGAGGCGAATGTCGACTTCCATTCGAATATACAGTCGAGTGGCCATTTGACAAACAAGTTGAATTTCAAGAAGAACTATAATTTTTTCTCTAATATTTATTCTTGATTATTTTATCTATGATTTGATTAAGAAAATACATGAATTTGAAATAAAATCAAAAACAAATTTTAACTGCTCCGATATAGTTTATCGAACAATATTATCAGTATTTGCTGTACCTGTCGAGGGTGTGAGTGTATCTTTACTCTTGATTTCTACCCAGACACGACACTCATACGAATCCCCACATTCATACTCACACCCTCAAGATAGTATGTAATGAAGAGGGAAAAGGAGCCGCAAAAACTCGCTCTTAAACTTCCACTCACTATTTTCTTCGAAAACTTACTTGAGCTTCACAAAAGATTTAAAAGAAAAAATAAACTGGAATACAAATTGATATTTTATCATAGATAGAGTATCAAAAAACAAATCTTTAATGATGATTAAGCCGAAAACAGCCACTCGGTATGCTAATGTATTTACATAAAGAGAAGAACTAAACGTGCGCAAATATTTTCAAGCGTTCTCTTTATTAAATAAAAATAACTATATTGACAAATTTGTTGATTTTGGTACCGTCGAAATCACGTGAATTCAGAAGACTGAAATCCTCGAATCATAACTAGTGATTTGGGTGCGTTCGTTTCGCACGTTTGTTGTTTACTGATGTATCCGATTGGTTATTCATGCTCTTGCCAAGCCACAAGTGTATTGGATGTGAATGTGTGTCCTTGCCACAACGAATTCCACATCCTCCACATAGATCTAGCTCTATCTGAGTTTTAACATCTCTTCCCTTTTGCTTAAGCCATTTCTTGATATGATTCTTGAATTCATGTATATCAGGTACTTTAAATTTGACACTTGATAAATGTTCAGCTCTTTCCAGTATTATTTTTGCATCGTCTACACCTTGAATACTGCAATCAAGACGTTTAATATGTCGAGGTAATTTCAAACAGATATCATTAATAATTAGTGCCTCACTCCTCCAACTGTTGTAATGTATTATGATTGAACGAAGATTGGATGCTCGTTTGAATAGGATTTCCCATGCGGGATCTAAACTAACAATCTTGCAACCCCAGTCAAAGTGTAATTTCAAGTTTTGAACACTAGATAGATTAACTATGTTTGAAAGATGTTCAATTGAGTCGATCGACCATGTTTGATTAATTATGAGTTGAAGTTCTGTTACATTGGGAAACAAAAAATTCGATGTTGAATGAGTCTAAAATAAAAAGGTGTATGATTCTACCATGAAATAAGAAAGTCATCTCAACGAACTTTATATTCAAACGAAACAAATTAACTTCAGAACATTCTGTATTGAATTCGACAATTTAAGGATTTTGAATCTGTATTTTCTTTTTTTTGAAACTCAAACAATATCTTTTAATGTCTTTCATACAATATTTTATAAAGAAAAATTCTTTAGGTTTTATTTAGAAAATGGAAAAACTAAAAACTATTTTTGAGCTACCAATAGAAAAGGGTCTTGTTTCAAATCCATCCGATGAAACAGACGTTCGAAATATAATGTATATGTCTATTTTAGTGAAAATCGATTGTGAAACTCAACAGTACTTAAATCAAACCAAGGTAGAGCATAGGTGCGAATCTTTTCTTCATTCATACTAATATCAGCACCTCACATCATTTATACAGATCTGTCAGAACATGTTGGGTTGAAAACAAAAGAATTTTTACAAGCTTCCATGCCTTTGTTATTTTATCATCATAGAATAATAGCTTGCAAGTATTCTTTTCATACAGACCACTGTTCTCTAAAACAGAGAAATAAAGCATTTTCCAATGACTTAAAGTACTTTCGAGCCCCAAATGGTTAGAAAATTTTAAATCCATATCTCGCCAACATGTTGGACACTACTGAACTGTAGTAATCTTCCAAAGGTTCATAGACTGTAGAGTTCGGTTCCAGCCGGTTCGGGTCTGATTTTCTTCAGCTTGCGACGGAATCGTCATGAAGTGTCGGTCACACATAAACTAGGGTGTTAGTACAGAAGTGATTCAGGAAAGGAGTAAGTTACGGCGTTACTAGATCACTTCGCTAGTTCGCTTAAGTAACGAAGTGAAATAGGTTAAATAAGTGGATTTCACTACGAAATTTTGTTTGCGATGATTCATCGCCATTTGTAGATACTTCATATAAGAATGCAATATCTCAATAACAGTACTACAAGATTGTGAACTATTATAAAGAACATCTAATCACCTGCCGGATCATTTCTTGAGTGCAGTTTTTGTCAGAACTAGACTTTGAACTTTCTTTCAATTATTCAAGTTCCATCTATTCTGAGAGATTTATAAATTTCACTGTGATTTTTGAAAGCGAGTTTGACATCAGTAAATAGCGCATTCAAGAACATTGACAATCCTTCAAAATGAACGGATACCAAAAACTACTAATCGTATTGATTTGAAAATGTAAAGTAATGCTTACTTGTTGAGAAATTCCATCAGTTATCATTTCATCCTAACTTAAAGACAGTTTATGTGCATTGACGACGGTTGTTGCATTGTTTTCAGCGACATTCAACGCGGAATACAAGATCTTGTTTCGAGAATTTGGATACTCGAAATGATTTCGAAAGATTGGTATTGAATATAAATAGAATTAATGACTATGCTTACTATGCTCATAGTCACACTTGATAAACCAATTTTTATTTTCGAGCCAAATTGGAGTTTGAAATGGTGCAATCAGTGACTCTACAGTAGCACGATTGGAATCAAAATCTTGAGAATTGTAAAGCCAGAAGTAAAACTGATTTAATAAAGGTAATTTCGATTGAATCAATTCTTCCCAACGAGAACTGTCAAAAAATTGATGATCAATTGAATAACGTTGACCTAACAATCGAAGATGCTTTAACATAGGTAAAAGTGAAAGGAGTGATTCAATTTCGTCCATTTTTAAATCACTACAGTCATTTATCGAGAGCGATGTTAAATGAATTGTCGATCGAATATCAGAATCTTTAGCAATAGTCATATTGTATCTGTTTTGGTATGAAGTTGTTTCAGAACAAGCGTTTGTAGATAAGGTAAATGAATAAAAATAGAATAAACTGTATTCCGATTACACAAAGATATTGTCACATGTTCCAATCTACATTGAATAGGCTACTTTATTTCATTTCCAACATTCAAATCTCCGTTGAATTCAAATTTAAGAAGATCATTATGTGAAATGATAGATGATATAAGTGCTAAATCCAAGTTCTTCCAGTTATAATATCTAGAATAACTACCGGGTGAAACTGAGAATGTTCTAAGAGGACATTTCATTATATGTTTTTGAAATGTTTGAAATTCTTGGGTTTCTACATTAATAAGATTTAATGAACGTAGTCGAATGAGCTGATCAATAGAAAATAGAGAAAGAAATAATTTAATTTGATCACTTGTCTGTAATTCATCCGCAAGCGTAACTGAAATGACATTTTTGGGATCAATAATACATGCCAAGATAGACAGGTCAGATTGTGACATGTAACGGAAGTCTAATCCGTATCGATTGTAAGTATTAGAAATGTAGTAGAGCCGTTTGTTCACACACCGAATTGAAAACGAAATTGTCTCTGCATCGAGATGGTCGAAAATTCGATGAACCATTTCGATGGGTAATTCTTCAAGATAAGATTTGTTTGTAAAAGACATACGTAAGCCGTAATTCATCGAATACACAAGTATAATTTAGTTCGTTCTAATTATACGTCACGATTACACATTCACGTCTATTATGGACATCTAATGATGTACTGCATTCGAATGCATAAAATGAAAGAAAATAAAAGAATTCTTCGCTTATCTATACACCGAAATCTTGAGAAAGAAATGAAACAATGAATCATTACCTTACTTCCGAAATATTACATACAAACGATGTAATAACCAATATTTGGAATTATGAAGAAATTAAAACATGACTTTCTTCGACAGCATTAGTTTTTTTCTGACTTGTGGAGAAGGTGGATTTAAGGGTACCCCCCCCCTCTTTTTTGACCCAAAATTCGATTTTGAGTTGAGCCCAAGGTATGATAGCCTGAGGTGCCACCTACAACTGGAGACATTATTCGACTCGAAACATTTTACTTTTACCTATTTATTAGATCGAGAAAAAATTTTTTTTCATAGTAATCGTATGTAAATTTTTTTCATTTACTTAGCGTTTTGGAAAACAGCGATTTTCTACATCTTGATACATTACGACCCCCTTTTTAGTTTGTCTGATCGAGCTGAAATTTTTACCACTAACACTTGAGAGTATTCTCCAGAGGTAAAATCGAGCGTTTTCATTTTTGATGTTCCTACTCCAAGTTACAGGGTCGCAAAAGCCAAGACCCGAAGCACAAATTCAAACCTTGCTCTATTTCTCTTATAAAAAAGAAAGAAAGTGAGATTTTTGGAAATCCTTAATTTTACCTCTGGGGAATAGTGTTGGGCGTCTATAAACAAAATTTCAGCCCAATCGGGCAAAATTTAAGGGGGGTCGTAATGTAGCAGGATGCGGACCTCTGGAAAACCAGGGTTTTCCAGAAAACCCCTCGAAAACTTAGTTTAAATTTTTTTTCCTCGAACACGTATCTCGTTATTTTTGATGCTCTATCTGTGGTAAAAATTTCAGCTTGATCGGTTGTACCGTCTTCGAGAACCACAAAGTGTCAAAAAAGAGGGGGGGGGGGGTACCCTTAAGTAATTTTGATGATGAAATAGCTTTCATGCAATATTATTCCTTTTGCTACAATAGAACAATCGTTGATAAATTTTAAAAGAATTCAACGTGAAATAATCTTGTTGTTATTTTATGAATTTCATTAAAAAATCTGTTTGAGATGAATTTGAGAAGACAACAATGTTGAAATGAAAACTCAATGGCTTTTCATTGAAATTTGAAAAGCTTTTAGCGGCAATCGAGAAGTTTAATTGGAAATTTGACTTGCTTTAAATGTATTCAAACATCGATTGATACTCATTGGCAACA